GCAAGAAATTGATAAAAGTTTTTTTTTCTCCTCCATTTTAGTTTAAGCTCCGATTCCTTTATGATGACGTCACAACATCCACAATTACATAGACCATTAAACCAGATATTGAATCCTCTATGATACAAAGAAAGAATAAGGGATAATAGCCCTTAAATCACTGTGCGACAGAGGCTAAAATATGTTGCGTGTATAATGCTCCATGTAGAAGGCAAGTTCGGAAAACTAACCGAAGAGAGAGAGAGAGAGAGAGAGAGAGAGAGAGAGAGAGAGAGAGAGAGCGAGAGAGAGAGAGAGAGAAAGATAAGAGAGAGAGAGAGAGAGAAAGAGATAGAGAGACAAAGACAGAGGTAGAGAGAGAAACAGACAAACAAGCAAACATAGATATGCAGATAAATAAACAGAAAAAAGAAAAAAAACAAAATACAAAAGCCCAAACTACCGAGATGAGGAACCAAAACAAACGAACAGAGAGAAAACCAGACAAACGACGAAAGAGAAGTGTAAGACAAGAAAAAGAAAACCGAAAAAGAAAAAAAAAAGAGAAAAGAAAACAAAAAAAAGAGAATAAAAGACAGTCACGAGCTAGTGGACCCGGCCTACTGACTTCAGAGAGCTGGTGGGAGCAAACTTTTAAGTGGTACCTATTGGCTGTGAAGTGTGGAGACCAAAACCCAAGGGAAGGGGGGGGTATTTGTGGGAGAAGGGGGGAGGGAGGAGGGAAATGGAGAGAGGAGGGAGGGGGGGACAGAAAGAGGAATATGTATGTATGTGTGTGTGTGTGTGTGTGTATGTATGTATATATATACACATATATTTACACATGTATGCATGTTAGTATACACACACACACACACACACACACACACACACACACACACACAATATATATATATATATATATATATATATTATATATATATAATATATATATATATATATATATATATATATATGTGTGTGTGTGTGTGTGTGTGTGTGTGTGTGTGTGTTGTGTGTGTGTTTATGGATAGATAGATCGGTAGATAGATAGATAGATAGATATAGATAGATAGATAGATATAGAAGATAGATAGATAGATAGATAAAAAGATAGATATATAGATAGATAGAGAGTGAAAGCGATAGACAGATAGATAAATAGAGAGATATATAGATAGAGAGAGAGAGATAGAGAGATATATAGATAGATAGATAGAGAAAGAAGAGAAAAAAAAGAGAAAGGAAGAAAGAGAAAAAGAGGAAAAAAAAATCATTTTATGATATATCATCAGAAACGTCAAAATCTGTCCCATGAAACAGCCATTCCACATGTACAAAATATAATTGAATTAAATCTAACACTCCATTCTGTATCATAATTCCTTTATAATGCTCGTGTAATGCTACCATTGAATCGAATTGGGTTTGAACAAATTGGTTTGCAATAAACATCAATTTGCAACCGTCAATTCTATTATCTTTTCTTCTTTCTTTCTCTCTTTGTTGTCTCTTCGTCGCGGTTGCAAAAAGAAAAAAAAGAAGTAATATAAGATTCATTAAGGTTCATTTTCCTTCTTGTTTCTATGTTAATTTCACCTCTTTATGCGTACTTGTAATTTCGGGTTATTTTCTTATCATTAATTTTATTCGTGTGTTTTATCTGTTTTCTTTTCTTTGATGTAAATCTGACATTTAATTTTCATTCTCTTCCATTCTCGTAAAGTTTAATGTCTGTGTCTAACCTTTCATGACCGTCTGTCTGTCTGTATGTGTGTCTGTCTGTCTGTCTTATTTTCGTCTGTTCGTCTGCTCTCTCTCTCTCCTCTCTCTATCTATCTATCTATCTATCTCTCCTGGACACAGAGGAGGACGAGGAAAGGGAGGAGGGGGGGGAGAGGAGAAGGAAGAGGAGGAAAAGTGGGAAGAAGAAAGGAGAAGAAAGGAAGAATAAGAGGGAGAAAAGAGGAGGTGGAGGAAAAGAGGAAGAGGGGATGGATGAAAAGGAGGATGAGGGGGAGGAAGGAAAGAAGAGAAGGAGGAGAGTGGAAAGGAAAAGGAGAAGGAGGAGGAAAGAATGGGAGAGAGAGAAAATGAAGGAAGGAGGAGGAGGAGGAGAGGTAGTTGTGTAGAAAGAGGAGGGAGAAGAGAAGGAAGGAAGGAGGAGTAGAAAGAGGTGGAGGGAGGGGAGGAGGAGGAGAGAAGAAAGGGGGGGGGAGAAGAGAGGAGGACCCCAATAGGAAATTGCAGTCTCTCCCATGTCATTTCCTGTTCTTCATCTCCCACCTTTATTGTTTTTCTCAATTTTTCTTTTCTCTTTTTCTCCTTTTGTCTCTATCTTGATTTTTTTAATCATATAATATTTTCTCTCTAGCTTTGTTGCTCTCTTTCTTCTTTTTTTCTCTCTCTTCTTTTGTTTCAGTCTCTGTTTTCTCTCTCTCTCTCTGTCTCTCTCTCTCTCTCTCTCTCTCTCTCTCTCTCTCTCTCTCTCTCTCTCTCTCTCTCTCTCTCTCTCTCTCTCTCTCTCTCTCTCTCTCTCTCTCTCTCTCTCTCTCTCTCTCTCCTCTCGTCCTAACCTAATAGTTTTGAATCTGGCTAATTACGTTATAAAATATTCATTAATTGTCTAATTGGGTTTATTTCATTGTTTACTCGTCGATTTTAATACACCTCTTTTATACGTTTTTACCATCTTTATAAAAAGAATAAAAATCTCAAAGTTATTTGGACGACGTGACTAGGGATTTCGAAAAAAAAGAAGAGAGGAGAGAGAGAGAGAGAGAGAGAGAGAGAGAGAGAGAGAGAGAGAGAGAGAGAGAGAGAGAGAGAGAGAGAGAGAGAGAGAGAGAGAGAGAGGAGAAGAGAGAGAAAGAGAAGAGAGAGAGAGAGAAGAAGAGAGAGAGAAGATATAAACAAATCATAGCCCTTTACATTCTAACAATGATGCTGCGGAGTGGATAGGGGCGCCGACTCTCTCGGGAAAAGCCAGCGTTTCGGTTCCACTCCACGCCAAGCGGAAAGTGTTCAGCGGCCGGTGCCATGTTTTTTTTTTCTTTTTTTTTTTTATTTTTATTTATTATTATTATTTTTTTATTATTTTTTTTTTTTTTTTTTTTTTTTTTTGTTTTGTCTTTTTTCGATTTATTTTTTGTTCTTTCCGGCACTCATTCACCTACTTGTCTATTTATCAGTATAGTTGCTTTTACAATTATCATTATTGTTATGATTACTATTATCATGGATGATGACACACACACACACACACACATAAATATATATATTATATATATATATTATATATAATATATATATATAATATATATATATATATATATATATATATATATATATATATATATTTATGTGTAGTGTTGTGTACGTGTGTGTGTGTTTGTTGTGTGTGTGTGTGTGTTGTTGTGTGTGTGTGTTGTGTTGTGTGTGTGTGTGTGTGTGTGTGTGTGTGTGTGTGTGTGTGTGCGTGTGTGCGTGTGTGTGTGTGTGTGTGTAAGTGTATGCATACTTACGGTATATTTGTACCGAATGACGGATTCTATTAATAGAATAACAGGACAGACCCACATGAATAGTAAAATTTGCAAATATATGTACATAGTTTTAACAACACGCAGAGGTATGCAAATAAGAAATAATACTTTGCTTTATTTATTTTTTCTTGATGTTAGTACCGCTGTTATCGCTCTTATTTTTATTATTTCTTTATTTTATTATTTATTATTTTTTTATTTTATTATTTTTTTTATCTTATTTTATATATTAGTTTTTATATATTTTATTATATCTATATATATTTTATATATTATTTTTATTTTCTTTATTATTTTTAGTTATATATTTTTTTTATTTGATTTATTTCATTTTTGATTTTATTATTTATATTTTATGCTTATTTTTTATCTATTCTATTTTTACTTTATAAGTTTATATTATCTAATTATTGATGCTCGATTTATTATTTNGAGAGAGAGAGCGCGACGCGGACCCGAGGGCAGAGACGGACAGAGACAGAGACAGAGGACAGAGCACGTGATACAGAGAATCTAGAGCGAAAAGACAGGACAGACAGACAGAGGAAGAGAGAGAAAGAAATGAAAGAAGGTGGTGCATGAGCGTGTGTGAGAGGGGAAAAGGGAGGGGGTGGGGGAATGTCACCCTCCGCCTTGTTACGAAAGCCCGAGGAGCTGCTTATACAGCTGATTTCTCTCCGTGTGTAAGGGTCCTTAAGTCCCCCCCCCCCCCCCCCCCCCCCCCCCCCCCCGGAGCTGGGTCTTCGCTGGGGTCGGGAGGACTGTGGGCCGTCGGCTGCTCGAGACGTGTTCCCAACGTGTTTAGGAGTGTTTGTTTATTTTGTGTTTTTTGTTTGATTGTTTTTTGTTTATTGTATTATTTTTTTGTTTATTTTATATATTTTTTTTTCTTATTTTTTTTTTTGTATTTATCTACTTTTTGTATTCATTTATTTATATTTATATATTGTTTATCTATTGAATTATTTTTACAGAGGTAGATGTGCATTTGTTGATTTAGTGTTTTCTTTCCTCTTTCTTTTTTGTTTTTTGTTTCTTTTCGTTTGTTATGTGCTCGCGATTTTTTTTTTTTTTTTTTTTTTTTTAGGAATTGAGGATTATTTGTTTTGTTTTTCTTCTTTTTTCTTTGTTTTATAGTTTGTTTGTTGCGGTTTCGTGTAGTGACTGCGTGTTTTGCGGTCTTTTAGGAGTACTTTTTGCTTGTTTGTTTCACTTGAAAACTTATCTCAATAAACTATTGCATTTATCCGTCTTTACACGCACATACGCACACACACGCACACGCACACGCACACGCACACGCACACGCACACGCACACACACACACACACACACACACACACACAACACACACACACAAACACACACACACACACATACACATACCAGTTTGTCTTTGTTTGTTTTCCAGTTTGTTTGTTTTCCTGTTTTTCTTTCTTTGTCCCGAAAGATAACCGCGCTTCTCTCTCCACAGGTCTGACAGGATGCGTTGGCTGGGCGGGTGGGCGTGGCGAGTGGGCGGCGCAGTGGGCGTCATGTGGCTGGTGGGCGTGGCGCTGTTCGCTCCGCCCAGCCCCACGTCGAGCGCCAGCGACCCCCGCCTCGCGCAGCGGCTCCAGCGGGCGGTGCAGGAGCTGGACGTCCTCAAGAAGCAGAACGACGACATACGGCAGGTGCTGCAGGACTTCACCAAGTAAGGACGCCCACCCCACGCACGGGCCAGGGGGGTAGGAGGGGAGGGGGGGTGGGGGGGGGTAATGATGTAAGCATTTATACAAAAAATTCAATAAAGTGATATGTTTGCAAAAATGTAACCAGACATCTTAATCCGAAGTCAAGGCTACATCATCGCATTCGGACGGTTTGTGTTAACTATGGTCACGATCATAATAAAAAAAGGATTTATAACAAAAATAAAACAACAACAACAACAACGGTACACTCGCTTAATTTAGAAAGGCTTATAGATCTATAGACGTGTGAATATGTGAGTTAATGCCATTCACAACCAGAATTTTTTTATATTAATCTTTATTTTATTAATTTATGTTAATCTTTAATCTTTATTAATTTTTTCATGTTTAAAATGTTAATCTGTTTTACATTTGACGTACAATTAAGTGAAGAAGTTTACGTGACGTAGAAAGGATTAATTAATTTTGATGTATTATTAGGTTTTATTGTCCTTCGTGTTAGATCTTGTCATTAAGATTTAAGATTATGAAGGTTGTGATTATTGTTATTATGGTGGTTATGGTGCTTGTGTTTGTTATTGCTGTTGTTGGTTTTTGTAATGGTAATTATCATTGTTGTCGTTTTCGTTATTATCAAGTGTCATCACTATCATCATCATGATCGTCATCAGCACCATTACCATCATCATCACCATCATTACCATCACCATTGTCTTCACCATCATCACCATTTCCATTACCATTATCATTATCACAATCATCATTATTATCACAATCATCATATTATCACATCATCATTATTTCACACTCATACCATCACTTCATCAATTATATCATCACCATCACCATCATTATTATTATTATCACCATTACCGTCACCATCATTATCATCACCGTTGCCTTCATCATCATTTCCATCACCATTATCATTATCACAATCATCATTACCATCACTATCATCACCATTACCATCATCACCATCATTGTCATCATCACCATCATTATCATCAGCATTACCATCATCATCACCATCATTGTCATCACCATTACCATCATAACCATCATTATCATCATCATCACCATCATTATCATCATTGTCATCACCATTACCATCACTATCATCACCATTACCATCATCATTACCATCACTATCATCATCACCATCATTATTATTATTATCATTATCACCATTACCATTACCATCCCTTCTCCCGCAGGCAAGTGAGCTCGCTGAACGGGGCGGCGCCTCCGCACGGCAACACGGCCATGGTGGCGGAGCTGCAGAAGAAGCTGGAACACGCTCAGCGTATGTTACAACAGGCTGATGCAACTGCTGACCACAAGACAGGTTAAAAAGAGAGAGAGAGAGAGAGAAATGAAATAAAAGATGAAATAAAAGATTGCCAAAAAAAGACACTTTCACGAATGCCCTTTCTGAGTTTCTCCTTTTTCTTCACACTGGCTTGGATTCATTTTCTTTTCTACTTTTTTTTTTGGCTTTTCCTTTTGTCCTAGAAGTGGTGGTGGTACGTTCGGTGCACATACATATATACGTGTATATATATCTGAAACATATACTTCACTACAAAAAAAAAAAAAAATAATAATCCTAGATATATCCCAACATACTCATTTTTATCTCTCCCTCTCTCCCTCTCCTCCTCCTCCTCCTCCCGCGCCCCCTTCGCCCCGGCAGGCACCTCGGACTTCACGCCCTCGCTGGAGTTCGAGAAGACACGTCGCCTGGTGGAGCGCGGCGTGCAGGAGGGCTGGTGGTACGTCGCGGACCAGCTGCAGCAACTCCGCAAGAAGCTGGACGCCTTCTCGGACCACACGGCCCACATCGACCGCGTCCTGGAGGAGGGCGTCGACCACGTGAGGTGCGTGGGTGGTGGGGGGAAGGGGAAGGGGAGGGGAGGGAGGGAGGAGGGGAGGGGAAGGGGAAGGGAGGGAGGGAGGGGAGGGAGGGGGGGAGGGGAGGGAGGGAGGGAGGGAGGGGAGGGGAGGTTAATTGGTTTAGTTATATATTTAGTTATACATAATACATACATACTACAGATATATGTGTGTGGTTGTGTGTGTGTGTGTGTGTGTGTGCGTGTGCGTGTGTGTGTGTGTGTGCGTGTGTGTTGTTTGTGTGCGCGTGTGTGTGTGTGCGTGTGTGTATTTGTGTGTTTGTATTGGTGTGTGTGTTATTTATCATTTATTTGTTTATTCATTAATCCTTTTACCTATCTACGCATTCAGTTTTAGAGGAAGTGGTTTCAGTTGATTCTTGAAGGGAAGAAGGGGTATTTTTAGCTGACAGACTATTTTTTCCCTTTCTTTTACGGTTCGTTGGGATGAATTTCTGAAGATGTTTTTCTCCCTTATTTTCATCCTCCTCCTTTCATGTGTTTTTTCGTATTGCTGTTGATCGCCCTCTCTCGCGAATTGCTCGCCCGTGATCGGCGAGGCAGACCCTCGTCCACTTATGCCTCTGACGCCATGGGCATTCAACTCAGGAATTCCCCACTTGAGCTCCTTGACCCATCCTCCTCACCCATCCCCCTTGACTCAGCCCCTCGACCCCTCCTCCTCGACCATCCCCCTTGACCCATCCTCCTTGACTCAGCCCCCTTGACCTATCCTCTACTCATCCCCTTTGACTCAGCCTCCTCGACTCAGCTCCTCGCCCTCCTCCTCGACCCCTTCTCCTCGGACCCATCCCCTCGACCCCTCACCCTGGACTCAGCCCCCCACTCATGACCTCTCCTTTCCGCCTCCCAGGGTCCTGCAGTATGACCTCCTTCGCCTGAGCCAGCTGGACGGACTCGGGACGTGGCGTGAGCAGGAGGCGGCCGACCTGAGCGCCCTTATGCAGCGCAGATTGCACGCCCTGCAACACCCTAAAGATTGCGCCAAGGCCAGGAAATTGGTCTGCAACCTTAATAAGGTAATTTTCTCCGAGCTTTCTATACGGTCGGGTATGTCTGGAAGGAAGGTTCTCTCTTTATATTGTTTATTATTACTACTACTATTATTATTATTATTTTGTTTATTTATTTATTTATTATTATTATTTTTTTTTTTGCTGCTGTGTGTGACCTTAGTATATACGTCCTTTCCTTGCAGATCATTAGAATGTTTCTGTTTTGAATGTTGAGTCTCCAATTTCCTCAAGGCGCTAACGTCCCCCTTTCTTTCTTTTACTTTTTTATTTTTGCGATCTCGACTGCCTCTCTCGGTGCTAAATCTTATGATTCCAATTCTGTTTCCTTCCCGTCTTTTGATTTTTATGTTTTTTATTTCCAAGTTCTTGCGGTCCTCGTGTTTTTCTCTTCTGATACTTACGATATTTATTGTCTCTTTCCATGCTAATTCTTATGATTTTAATTCTCTTTCCTTCGCTATTCATGTCTCCTTCCATGCTAATTTTATGATTTTTAATTCTCTTTCCTTCGCTATTCATGTCTCATGCTTCCATGCTAATTCTCTGATTTTTAATTCTCTTTCCTTCGCTATTCATCGTTTCCTTCGCTGCTCAATCTTTGATTTTTAATTCTGCTTTCCTTCGGCTATTCTCATGTCTCCTTCCAATGCTAATTCCTTATGATTTTTTTATTCTCTTTTCTTATTTTTTTTATTTTATTTAGTTATGTTTTTATTGTTTTTTTTTTTTTGTTTTTAAATAATACTTTTTTGCTACACTCATCTACACACTACATTTATTTTTTTTTCTTTTAATTTTTGTTAGTTTTGTTTTGTTTTTTGTTTTTGTTTTTTTTACTGTTATTTGTATTTATTTTTAATTTTTTTTTTATACAACTATTTTTTTTTAAGTTCTTCTTATCTGTTCTCTTACTCCCTTTTGTTTTTTACTTTCATCAATTTTTTTATACTCTTCTTTTTTTGTTTTTTTTTTTTTTTTTTTTCCTTTTTTTTTTTACTCTTTTTTATCTTTTGTATGGTTTATTATTTTTTTTTTCTTTGTTTTTTTTTTTTTTTTTTTCGGTTTTTTTTTATTTTTTTTATGATTTATATCACCCACAAAATTTTTATCTTTAATTATATTTTTTTAGTTTTTTATTTTTTTGTTTCTACAAGTTTTCATCTCCCGTTTCTTTCTTTTTTGTTCTATTTCTTTAATTTCGGTCTTCCTATTCATCGTCTCCTTCGATGCTTAATTCTTATGGATTTTTATTCTCTTTCCTTCGCTATTCATGTCTCTTCAATGCTAATTCTTATGATTTTTTAATTCTCTTTCCTTCTATTCACTATCATCCTCTCCATGGCTCTTAATCCCTCTATGATTTTTAATTCACTCTTCTCCCTTCCCTATTCTGTCTCCTTCTCATGCTTAATTCTTATGATTTTTAATTCTCTCTTCCTTCGCTATTCATGTCCTTCCATGCCTACAATTCTTATGATTTTTAATTCTCTTTCCTTCCCTATTCATGTCTCCTTCCATGCTACACTCTTTATGATTTTTCAACTTCTCTCCTTCCCTATTCCCATCGTCTCCTTCCATGCCTAATTTTATGATTTTAATTCCTTTCCTTCCGGCTATTCGTCCGTAAGTTTTAGTTCTTCGCCTTCCTAGAATCTTTCCTGCGGTCTTTCTATCATGTTCCTTCCCTTCTCACTCCTATGCAAAAGTTTCCATTGTTTCTCCTCTTTCCTCTCTCTCCCCCCCCCCAGGTTGTGGCTACGGGTGCCAGATCCACCACGTCGTCTACCTGCTTCATCGTCTGCCTACGGGACCAAGAGGACGTTGATTCTCAAGTCGCGGCTGGCGGTACAACAAGGCCGGCTGGGAAGACGTGTTCCAGCCGCTTAGCGAAACCTGCACGGACCTCTCGGGGTACACGCACTCCCACTGGCCAGGTACGCGAGGCTGGGGTGGTGGTGGGGCAGGGGGGGTCTTCGGAGGGGGTCTGCAGGTCGGTGGGGAGAGAAGGGAGGGGTGTGTGTGGGGGGGAAGTCGTGTGTTTTTGTGTTTAGGGGAGTGTGTTCAATCTATATATTTATCTACTTATTTAACTTCATGCATATATTCAACAGAGATGATAAACCTAAACTATTATCGTTAGTAACTAGGCGCCACCACGTGCCGGCTGCACGGTGGCTCGCGCGCACCCGCCCGTTCCCCCCGCGCCTGACCCACGTCCGCTCCCACAGGGTCGAACGAGACGCAGGTGGTGGACCTCCCCACTGGAAAAATCGACACGCGGGTCTGTATTCCAGACAGAGCCGTCTGTACGGAGAGGAGGACCATCGCCGGCGCAAGTCTCCGAGGGACGCAGTCTGCGACGCGTCTGACCGCGGGGCGAGCGACTGTGCGAGGTCGCACGGCGGGGCGAGGTGGAGAGAGCTGGGATTGCTCGAGAGAGTCAGAGCCGTTGCCATTCAAGTACAGAGAGAGGATGCTGCAAAGACAGCAGACAAGCCTCAAGACAACAGGAGAATGCTGGATAGCATGTCCGAATGTACGCATGTGGATTTCCAGAAAGGCCAGCGATTGATAAAGAGTAAGGATGTAGGGCCTGCCCTGGACGCTCACTTCTTGTGTTTGCTTGTCCTATTGGACGTTTCCTGCCCTCTCCTTCATGCAGATGACCTTGATCTTCTCGTCTGCTCACCTCCTGTCTCAGAGGAGGGGGAGAGAGAGGAGAGAGTCTTTTCATCGCTAGAGTCAGTCGGATCGTACTCAAGAAGAGTACTATCTGCTTTCGTCTCTCTCGTATACTCGATCACTGTCAGCATGCTCTCATCCATCGGTAGTAGACTGAGATCGCTCTCTCAGATCTCGCTCTCATCCATCTCTCTCTCTCTCTCTCTGCTCGATCAGAGTCGACTACGTACATCAGTCTAGCCCTCCTACCTCTCTCGTACGTATCTCGCACATAAGTTTTTACTCACTATCTTTCTATGTAAGTAATCCTTCCTTTCCCTTTCTCATGAAAACGCAGCGAAAGTTTAACTGGCACATGATCCGTCCTCATTTTACAATATGACGTCACACATAGTCACCAGAAAAAAAGAAAGAAAATGCTTGGGAAGTTAACAGCGCTCGCCCTTTTCAGAGTGCACGTGCGGAGAACGGACAAGGTCGGCACGGAGGGCGCGCCTACCATTCCATAGACGACGAGTACATGAAGCACGTCGGGGAGTACTACAAGGCGCTGAGTCTGCGTCAGCCCGACGTCGTCAAGAGGGTGTATCTGGCCTCCGATGATCCCACGGTCATCACCGAGGCCCAGAAGAAGTACGTCGGGTCTTGTTCGGGCCGTCGTCTCGGCTCATTCCCATCGGGGATCCATTTCATTGGCTTTAGTGGTCGGAGGAGGGATTGTTGGGGTTGTTGTTGCTGTTATTGTTTTTTTTGTTGTTATTGTTATTGTTATTTTTAGTATTATTATCATTATCATTATCATTATCATTATCATCATCATTATTATTATTGTTACTGCTTCTTTTTTGTTATTATTATTGTTGTTTATTATTATTGTTATTATTATTGTTATTATTATTGTTATTATTATTGTTATTATTATTGTTATTATTATTATTATTATTATTGATGCTACTAACGGTATCACAGCTATATTACAAACACAGAAAGAGAGACGAGTGTTTTTCAGCCCACGGTGAGCAGGGACTTCCCGAAGAGCTCCCCCTTAACGCGCCACTTTCTTCCAGGTTCCCCGACTACACCTTCATCGGGGACTCCAACATCGCTCGAACTGCGGCGGTCGCGACTCGCTACACGGATGCCTCGCTCAAGGGCATCATTGCAGACATACACTTCTTATCTCTCACAGATTACCTGGTTTGCACGTTCTCGTCCCAGGTAAAGTGAGGGTTGTTATTCGTATTTCTAGGAAGGCATTGGCTATCCAGTGGAGGATTTCTCCCTCCGAGATCCCTCCAGTTAAATCATTAGGGAAAAAATGCTAATGTGTATTTGGTTATATCGCTATAATTAGATTATAGAGTAAACAAATTCTTTTCTGAGAGCCAAACTAGTGTGGCAGGAGAAATCTTTACAATTTTTAGATGATTCAATTTGCTTGCGCACCTGGCAATTTAGATTAATTCATGGAAAATATCTGATGATACTCATATTTCATTTATGATGTTTATTAATTTTATCTGATCAAAAGTACTTTCATTAATTAATGCATAATTTAATATTAATCCAATTGACATCAAATATCTATATTAATGCACTGGATAGGAAATAATTATATTCATGAAATAGGCAGTAAATATTTATATTAATGCAATAGACATTAACATATTACGTCATACACAAGTTATTTTAAACATCTGTTTACGATTAATTTTATGTCTGATTACAGGTGTGTCGTATAGCGTATGAAATTATGCAGACTTTACATCCAGATGCATCCAGCTATTACCGATCTCTGGATGATATTTATTACTATGGTGGACAAAATGCACACAATCAGAAGGCGAGGTTCCCACACACTCCACGCAAGTAAGTATTTCATCGTTATTTTATGAGTAGTATTTTACTGGTATTATTTTGGTAAACTGGCAGTGATTCTATAGAATGATTGCCTTTTGGTGAGGGTTGTGGCTATATGTTATTATATCATTGATTGTTTATTATAGTGATTATGGATTATATCACACTATGATATTATGATATGATTCTAGAAAAGGTATGACTGAGAATGAATATCTGCACAACACCAGAGATTATTTAATTGGTTTTGAATATATCTTTGTGAGATATACATTTATTTCTGACGAAGATACATTTGAAAGCAGTCAGATACATCTCTTATATTTTGAAGATATTCATTCTCATTCATACCTTTTCTGCATTTGTCAACATAAATGTGGTTCATTATGTGATACAGTGCAATAGAATATAGTTTTATGTAATATAACAGTGGATTATAGCTCATGTTGGAAGCCTTAAGTTTCTTCAGCATTTGTTGAGGAGGAGGAGGCATTTATTTTGCATGTGTATATGTTTAAGCACTTTGTTTCATTTAACTTTCCTATTTTCTCAACAGATCAGACGAGATGATTTTGAAAGCCAATGATGTTGTGGGAATCGCTGGTAACCACTGGAATGGTTACTCAAAGGGCGTGAACAGGAGAACACGGCAAAACGCCCTTTATCCATCGTATAAAATGGAGGAAATCGTTGACATAGCAGATTTCCCGTCATATGCCGAGGTTGATAAAAGAAGTGGGACATGAATGATAGCAAATATTTAGTAACTTTTTTTTTTTTTTTTTTTAGATAGATTTTAGCTGGCAAATTATCTTGAGATTTATATTATTTTGTGATATACTTTAAAAATACATTCTGTTGTGGTGAGATTTTTTCTTTTTAATGAATGAAATCAGGGATATGTTTTAGCTTTTTCTTTCCATTACATTCAGTCCGAGGAGTGGCTATGAACTAAGATTCACATGAGGCAAGGAAAGGGACTTGTTAGTTTCTCTCACTGAATCCCAGTCGGAGGCATTAGAAAGGCACTCTAGTTTGATGGTTCGTTCACATGATAAATCATCACATAATGAATGTTTGTTGCAAGTCCAATATTTCCTGTACATTCTCCTTCTCCACATGTGAAATGCATTATCATTTGCATGTGATTCTTGTTTTATTTATTGAAGTGAATAAAGGGCAGAGTTGTGTGGGAAATTTTTAAAATGGGGATAACTGTGTAAAAAAGCACCACCATTATCTTATATTTGTTACATGTAAACTAGCAGTGCTCAGGGTAGGTGGCAATTTTAGAAATGGTTTCACAGACAGTCTGATATTTGAACAGCAATGTTTATAATTTTTTTTTTTTCAAGTGTGTACCGAAACTTGTTGTAAAATTGTATCCATGCAGTAAATGTCACAGAAGAGATCCATGCCATGTCTTAATATGTTTGTGGTTTCATAAGAAGTTCTTTATTACAGATTTTGATGTGTCAATTAATAGGTTTCATGTGCTCACAGTAAATGCTCCCATATAATACGTGTTGTGAAAGACTTTGAAGAACGATTATTCATCAGAGTAAACATTTCATCCTAGCAAGATTCAGCTGTTTTTTTTTCCCATTCATTCTTTTTCGTTTCAGTTCAAATAGTTGTTGGTGCATTGTTGGCCCCCCTCAAAAAACACGTCTCTGGAAATGTAGAGTGCTATTTGAGTATTCACTGCACATGGTTAAGGTGCCTGTCAAAGTGCTATGTCCATTACTATTAAACCTTCTCTCTTTTTAAAGAAATTATCATTACGAGTGTTTAGAAATAGGTACTCTTGTTGGCCTTTTGGGAAATCTACCCTTTCAGTTTTACTGCCAATAATCCAAGTTGTTTTGCAAATTAGAAAATTTTAATAATCAACCAATCCCAGCCATTCCATTTTCCTTTCACACATCCTTTATCGTGCCAGATGCTGGCAGGCTAAGATGTTGTCATTCTTGTGTTGCTTAACTACTGAAGTTTAGTCTATCTTGAGGAGCTTTTACTGTTTTCATTTGGACCATTATTAATCAATGCTATTTTGAATAATGAGAAAATACATCTGCAGAACCCTTCACTTCCATGCTCACCAACCCGTGTTGCCAATGTGTGAACCAACTGCCCTGATTTGTATATTCAAAACATGCCTCATCCTTCTATGTATGTTTTGGATACAAGAATTGAAACTGGCAGTTCACACTTTAGCCATACTGAGTGGTGATATTGGAATTGAACTGGACTGCACATCGGTCAATTGTTATTTTACTGGGAAGGATAAGTGGAGTGATGAAACTTACTTTGTATTAAAGTACTAAAATACCAGAAATGTTACTGTAGTGGTATTTATCATTCTAGTTTTATATGGAATGTATTTAAATTGTCATCAATATCTGATGGTAGAATCCACATTTGATACCAAACAAAGGAGTATTTTGCATAAATGTATGAATTAGATACCACTGACATGTATAATTTTATATTGTCTTATTCTTGTGATGTCCCTATTTTGAGGATAATTTTCTTTAGAAAAACTGTGTCCCAGAATATGTATACATTGTGTTATTGAACAATGCATTGATAATGAAATCATAAACATTGCTATTAATTTTACATGTATTTGATGTATGATTTACTTCATACGGGAGAAGAAACCTAATGATCATTGGAAATTGATGTTGTTTCAGTGGATTGTCACTTGGAGACTAGGAGGAAGGGGTCATATTGTATGACTTGTTCATTTGAACTTAATGCTAACCTTTCTGACCCTGTGTATTAATTGAAGGGAAATTGACAATTAGTATCCTTTGACAAATAATATTGAAGGCAATTTAATATTGCCTTGTAGGAAATCCATTCATTTTTTTTACATATTGGTGATATATATCGTGTGTATGTTATGAAATCTTTCATCATAATTTTTTTGCACATAAATTTGAATTTTAATATGGCATCACATATCAGCCTTAGCTACTTTTAATATGATCCCAGAGAAGTGCCTATGTGTTACAGATTGTTAAGAATTAATGGGCAACATTCAAAGCCTAGGGACACGTGAAATTTGTAACATAAATTTGTAGTTAATTATTATCATACCTCGTTGGTGGTTCTGATTTTTTTTTTCTTTTTCACATTTCTTCTATATGAAATCAGTTCTTAGCTACATGCTATATGCACCCTATTTTATGCTTTTGGAATACTAATGTAAATTCTATAACGCTAGTAGAAATTATAGTTCTTAATAAATTGTCAGTATTACATAATTTTGTGGTAGCCTAAGCAGCATCTCATGGTCACTGGCCTTTGTGGGTTCTCACATATAATTCTTATGTCTCATTTCTATTTTATTAAGTTTGTATGTCAGTGAATTTTGACAATCACCTGCTTATATCCTGTAATTTTTTTTTGACAAACATGTTGAATGTTGAATTTAGAAATATATTAAGTTACCAAAAGCAACTTATATAATTAGCAAATAATGTTGCTCAAAAGAAGTCTTCTGTTCCATTATGTTGAATGTTTAAGAGGTATTTAACTGTTCTGTACGGCAAGACCAAAATGAAAAAGAAAAGTTTACATTATTTATAGGGAACATTGAAAAATAAGATAATTTATGCAAACCATTTTACTACAAAACAGATTGAATTAACAGGAGACAGTATAGCATTTTATGAATACTCAATATTTATTGAATCATTACTAAAGTACAAATCTAAAAAAATATTAATAAACAGTTTTTATTTAATAGGGGAATAAATATCACCATAAATTAAATTTTAAAAAATGAACTTCATGTAATACAGTGCCATGTTACATTTTCCATAAGCATAACTTATAATTTACCAAGTTATCATGAAATGTTATCAATTACGGAGCATTATAGGCACTGATATTCTAAGTCTAAGGATCTTACCAACAAAAGATGTAGTTCTCAAGGAGTGGACTTTTTCTTCCCAACCTCCATCAGTCAATCCACCAGACAAGTAACATTTCACTAACATTTCAATTAATTTACACTGGTATTTTTCACCAAACGAAGTTAACTGAGTTGGAAATCAATAGTGATGTTTATGATATCTTTAGATACAGTTTACGAGTCACAACTTTTCAGAGAAATATACATTTTTAGGACGCAGTTTCCTGAAAGAAATAACCCATGAAATAGGGATAGCAAGAACATCTATGACAACTAAGAAAGTAATGTATATAGCATAGTTGTATATATGTACATAATATTCACTAGTATCAATTGTATTAGTGTCAACATTAATTCACTCCACAATTATCTTACTGTTGATTAAAGAAAAGTTTTATTTTAAGAGCACTTGAATTAAAGCAAATTTTGAAATACACCTGGAAAGTAAAATTTTCCATTAATGGCTTGGTGTTTCTTTCTCTCTTTGTTTCCATCCTTGTCTTTTGTGCATAATATACAATTTTCATATATAAAAGAAGAAAAAAAATTGGTGCTGAAAGAATATGTATATTAAGTTCTGTATATGTTACCCTTCCCAAATGAAGAAACTGATTGTTTAAATGTAATAATGATAATGAAGTGATTGTGAGATCTACTTTGTATGACGTCTAATGAACAGTTGTAACCTGTTTCTTGTATTTCCTAATAGTGTTCATCTTCAACAAACTTCATTGTACATTCCTGTTTTATAGAAAAAAAGAGATTGTATGAAATTCTAAAAAAA